GGTCTTGGCTGCCAGACTTTCTCTTTTCAATCTCATCTGAGGAAATGTTTTGTGCCAAAAAAGCCCCTAAAAGAGCACCACACAAAGAAGAGGCTCTCAGGATAAACCGGTTCTACACAAGGTGAGCCATAACAGTTATGAGCAGCCCCAACTCACTTTTCCCCCAGCTGTGGATTCAGATCAAGCCATCCCTGACCCAGAAGACATTGGTCATGATGAGATGGTGCATCCTACCAGGGAAACTACACTTAACTTGCTTGTTCCTGGTGCTCTGCTCAGCTCTCACCACAGACGGTTCATTCACCATGGTCTCCTGCACACCCCAGACAATTCACCATGGTCTCCTGCCCGCCCCACACCATTCACTATGGTCTTCTTTCACACCCCACACCATTCACTATGGTCTTCTTTCACACCCTAGATCATTCACTGTGGTCTCCTGCACACCCGAGGTGGACATGAAGGCACCCAGGGAGCATGATAATGTCATACTTAGCCAAATGGCTGAGGAGTTTATAACGCAAGACTTAATTTCTTTCAGTCCTTTTTGCTCTCTGATGGACAAAAGTCCAAATTAAAAAGCAGCTGTTAATTCTGGTTGAAAGAGGGAGACGCAGATTAGCACCTTGTGTAGGAGCACTTGGTTTGGTCGATCACTTCTAGCTTGCTATAATATACAGTTGCTGAAAAATAATTTGCTATGAGAAGTAAGCTATGCTCTTTATTTTTCTATTATCGGCGTTTCTATAATAAAGGTTGTATTTAGCCATTCAAGTGGGCGTTGCTGTGCAGTTGTTTTCTCTCTCGAGCGCTGTGTCACCTAAACTCTTTAAAAGCCAAGGACACTCTAACAAACAGGCACGTTCCTCTGGGCTCTGGACACAACCCACAGACACAGATATGCTTATATCTACCCATCATATTTCTTCTGTGGCTTGGGCATTTCTATCCTCGTTTCATCAGCGTTACCAAAAAAAAAAAAAAAAAGGGTATTTAAAAAGTAACGAGGGGTTTTCGAAAATATGATGCGGTTTTCTGTTAATCTCCCCACATCTTCCAGAGCATCTGAATTCACTGTTTCTTTATACAAATACATCTCCTTTTGTTTCCTCTTAGTGCGATAAACATAGACCGTAACTCACAGCAGATGTGATGGATGCTCATTACTGCATGTTTAAACTGCTTTTACAGATAATCATCTCTGGAATTATGATAAGATTTTTTTTTTTTTTTTGAGGAGAATGCATCCTTTCAGTGTGCAGTTATGGAAACCAGAGGAAATAAATAGCTGGGGAAATACCACACACAAACTTGAGAATTCAACAGCTTCTGTGTTGGTCAAAGGGATTTCCCAAAGGATGGGGGCTGGACTAGATGATCTTTAAAGGTCCTTTCCAACCCAAACGAGTCCATGATTCTGTGATTTGCTGTGATTTTGCTGTTTGTCACATCAACAGCTTAAAATACAACTGTGGGACACCTGCATGAGGTAAACTTCTCAATAAAAGGTGGCACTCAAAAATTCTTCAGCTTCATCTTTAAAAGTTTTTTTCAGAGAAACTGGAAACCAAACCTGTGTAGATCTGTGTTTTCATTTCAGCTGAGGAACTAAGATTTATGTGGGGCCTTCTGTATGTTCATGGCATTGAGTGGGGTCTGAAGGAAACCCTCAGAGGCTGCTGGGTGTCGCATAATTCTTTCTTGCCAAGGTTTAAGGGCAGATGAAGGAATGGTCAACCAGTTTTCCTTTTAAGGCAAAAAAACCCCATCTGTAAAGTCACACCACGGACTGTCCCAGAGTCACAAAGGTTTGGAACTGACTGAAGAAATAGAAATGTTTTTACATCAGAGTGCCTAGAAGAAAAGAGTATTTTCTTTTTTAAAGCATCAATTTGAGGAAAATAATAAGGGCGAGGAGAAGATTTGTAGGAAGTTGACCCTTCTTCAGTAAGGTGGCAAGACACCTGGAGGCCACGCTGTGTCTCTGACACCCAGGGCTGTGGCCGTCACATGCCCATGATGCAGGGTACCCGTGTCTGGAATTTGTCAGCCCCAGCAACACTCACGCTCCCGGGCTTCCCTCAGCACGCAGACTTTCCCAGCCAGCCACAAAATCTGCCATTTCCCTTTTTCTGCAAGCCCTATTGCCTACGAAGTTGGTAGATCCCAAGTATTTTATTAAACTAGAATTTAACTGTCTCAGTTTCTTACTTAATTCTTTCTTCAGAAACGAAGTGTTGGGAAAAAGGGAAGTGTTCTGTCTGCATCAGAAAATCTGTGCAAATTAGAGACATAGATGTTGGTTTTGAAACTCAGCTTTGCTGGGGCTTTCCTCTACCCCAGAAATTTCTGAATAATACAATTAATGAGTCCAGCCAATGTTAAACCTCATTCATTTTTGCCATGGAATGGCATTTTTTTTTTTTTTTCATCTTCTCAAGGAAAATGAATTCATATTTCAAACAAATGATGATATTCACCATCTGCTCATGGAAAAAAAAATGACAAAAGTACTCAAATTATTAATCTAAAGCAGTTTACAAATTATGCCAAGCTTCCAGAATGATATTTAAAATGCTGCCAGTCCAACCTACCCAGTGCATCACAAGGCTCACCCCCGTGCTTCTCTCTATGTAAGTGCACGTTAAGCACATTGCTGGTGTCAGTGAGGAAATTAGTATTTTCTGCATTTCAGTTTTATTACACTGAACTTTCAAACACCTGTGTATGCCACCTGTTGGTCCCGCTCGACTTTGCAAGCCCTGAAGGCCACGCTTGCAGGGTGCCTTCACCACCAGCACATTTGCAAGAGAAATGATTTTGCAATTTCCATTAGTTTTGTACTGTTGAAAGCACAACCTGTGCCACCGCCTCTGATCTATGTGTTGTACAGTGTCTGCAGCTCTTCCTGCTGGTGAACTACACTAAATGCTGCCAGCTTGTGTTTAGAGACAAACTAAACAGGCTGATTTATTATTTTTTTTTTTTTTAAATCTGGATTTCAAAAGACAAATGCTGTCAGCATGCTATATTGGAGAAGAATGAAGTGAATGAACTATGGAAAATTGGAAGCATAATAATACAACTTTTAAAATCCCATCTTTAGAGGGAATGCTGAGCCTTCTACCCTTTGCAGCCAGGTTGAAGGGACCATATGATCTCCTGGAGGGGATGGGCTGTCCTTGTCACCTACCACAGCCACCCAGTCCCTGCTGACACCCGGGCAAATTAAAAACCCCGCAAGAGGTCACCGTGCCAAATCAAAAACAGCAGCAGTGGAACAAGCTGAGATTACCTGCATACCAGGAATGCTGGTTATTATGCTCTCTCAAACCGTGTTAATGCTTCAGAGAACACATATGCCCTGTTAAACGCTACCCCTATTACAAGTGATAGCTTGTCTGTTCCTTCAGGGTTGTTTTTTTTTAATTTCTCTATATAATTAATATTAAAATCACAAGGATGTGAAATACGACTTTGGAAATGCTTTACAGTGGGCTATCACGTGTTTATCTGAGCATTCTTGTTAATCTATGTTCAGTAAATCAGTGTGACGGAGGCAAACACGGTGACCTTGGGGGTTCACCCTCTTTTTCTTTCCATGTCCTGAGCCTTTTTTGCCGTGTTCTGAGCTTTTCTTGCCGTGTTACCCAGCTCCACATGGAAAACCACAAAGGCCGGGCTCAGCCTACCCAAGGCCCAGCTGCCCTGCACTACCCGGGAAGGGGGATTGGGGAAAAACAGTAACACTAAAGAACCAGTATTGATCCCGCTACCGATATAAAACACCCAAGGATTGTCCCCAGCCCATCCCACCATCAGGAAGCCGTGCACCCCCAGCAGGGACAGCCGATGTGGGACCCTGCGAGTGCTGCGGCTTTGGGAGGGAGGGAAGGGCTCAGGGCTCCGGCACTGGGACAAGGAGTTCTCAGAATGGCAGCCATCGAGGGGGAGAGAGAGGGAGAACTCATAAAACTTTCTAATTTATATTGGATGTGATGTTCACGGCATGAAATAACCCTGTTGGCAGCTTGGGTCAAGTGCCCGTGTCTTGCTCCTCCTCATCCCTGCACCTGGGGAGCTCAAAACCACTGAGACCTTGAATCCCACACACCACAGCTGGCAATGAAGTAAATATTTCCACCAATTCGGACACTAGAGTCTTCTAAAAATGCACTTTTCACAAGCATGAGAAGATAAATTAGTCCTGTGTGGCTCAGAGCAGGACACTGGGGATGCCCATGCCCTCACGTTGGGTGTCCCTGCTCTGTTACAGAGTGCTATTGCCCAAGGAACACGGTCGGCTCCGAGCCCGGTCTTCCACAAATGCAGCCGGGAGCCCTTCCGCAGGGTGCGCCACCTCACGTTTATCGGGGTTTTATTCGATCTGCCGTTTTATTGCCCAGTTTCTCGGTGTCACACGACCCCTGCCGTCCTCTCCCAGCTGTCTCTCCTTCTCCCGCCCTCTCCCTCATGGCTCTTCCTCCCCGCCTCGTCCCTCAGGACTTTCTTTCCCTCCCCCCCCGCCCGCCGGCTCCTCTCCTTCCAGTCCCTCAGGGCTTTCCCTGCCCTCTACCCGCCGGCTCCTCTCGGCCTCGTCCCTCAGGGCTCTCCCTGCCCGCTCCTCCCCGCTCCCCGCCCGCCTCACACGCCCCCGCCGCGGCAGCCACTGCCGGCCGCGCTGCCGCGCAC